GAGTCGTTGGAAGGCCGTTGGGCAACGGGTATTGGGCCCCACCCAACGACTCTTTAACCCCATAACTCCCCAAAACACCCCCTACCCCCCCCCCCCCAAGCTTTTTTAATACCCAAACCTTATAAAAATTACATTTTTATCTTTTTTTAACTATAAATACCCCAATCTTTCATTATTTTCACTCACAAAAATATTTTCTTCTACTCTCTCAACAACTCTCAAAAGTCTCAAGTCTCTACTCTCTAATCTCTTATTCTCTTTTAAATTACAAATTTAATATTAGTTTGAAAGATTTGGTGGATTGCGAATTTGGTCTTGGTGCTTCAAAATTCAACTTTCAATTTTCGGCTTTCGGTCATACACGTCTACTTTTTAAGTAGACGTTTGGTATATTCGTTCCAACTCACTTTTCATTTAGTTATTTATTTGTTTGCATTTAATTATTTATTTATTTATTTTGTTAGTAATTAGTCTCTAGTCTCTACTTATTTAGTTATTTATTTGTTTGCATTATATTTTCGTATTATATATAATTTACTCACTTTTCATATTTGAATATGGATTTCGGTAAAAAAAATGTTGACAAGTGTAAAACAACCATAGTTGATTCGTTCACTAATTTATATAACTCAAATTCCAAGAAAAATAAAAAAACCTGGTAGTTCTTCTAAATCTAAAACTAGAAAATCTACTCAATTAAGAATAAATACATAAGATTATATGCATGTTGATGAAACTGTTTTTAATATTGATAGTAATAGTGAATTAGATCCTTATCATGAACAATTACAAAGAAGGTTTGGTAATTTTGATGAGGAATTGCCTGAAGATGATGAACATGATAATGTTAATGATTATATTGATAATTTTGATGATGATGATGATGATGAAACTGAGCCAATTACGGCTACTACTCCCACTCCCAGTCCCTCTCCCCCTCCCGCTCCCAGTCCCGCTCCCATTCATTGTCCTGCTCCCATTCCCCCCCGTACATCCTAGGCCTAAGGTAGAACGTGCTAAAAAATTAGTGGTGTGGCAATTTATGACTCAGAATGAAGATAAAAACACAAGCTATTTGTAATAAATGTAAACATAGAATGAATCATAAAACTGTAGGAAAACAGGGTGGGACGGGACTTTGTGTAATCATTTAATGGGATGCTGTAAAAATGAATTTTTGCATGCTAAAATTGTAGTCGAAGCTAAAAAGAATGGTACCACCCTTCCTGAAACTGTAGGAGTAGGGGGGCTCTAATATGGTCCAAACGCAATTAAATTCTTGTAATGTTTCTGGCCCTAGTACACAACGCTCATATAGTAGAGAAAAAGATCTTGAAGAATTAGCTAAAATGATTGTTCTTATGGGTTTGCCTTTTAGTTTTGCTGAAAATTCCAGTTTTATTCATTATATTCAAATTGTGTATAATCCACATTTTAAAGGTTTTACTAGAAATACAATTAAAAAGGCTATCTTTGATTATCAAGCTCAACATTTTCAATATCTTCGTTGTTTATTTTATTATAACAATTGTAAAATAGCTATTACTACTGATATGGGCCGTAGTGTAAATGGTAATGATTATTTCACAATTACTGCGCATTGGATTGATGAAAATTGGACTTTGCAAAAAAGAATTTTAGGGTATAAATGTTGTGAAATGCAAAAAACCGGTAGTTATATAGCTCAAACAATTATAGATATTTTGCAAAACTATGGAATTTGTGATAAAATAAGTAGTGTCACATTAGATAATGCTTCTAATAATAGAACTGCTGTTGAAATACTAAAACCGTCTCTTTGCCCTATTTATATTGATGGTTTTCATATTAGGTGTGCTGCATCTCTTTGCCCTGTTTATATTGATTGTATTCATATTAGGTGTGTTGCACACATATATAATTGATTGTTAGAGATGGTATATCAATGTATAATGATGGTTGCATAAAAGTTGAAATTGCATGTCATTTTATTTTTAAATGTCAAGTTAAGTCTAGACGTAGAGATTTTGAAAATCGTTGTCGTGAATTTAATCTTCCACCTAGAAAAATCCAAAATCAGTGTGTACTAGATGAAATTCTTTATTCGAAATGCTTGAAGTCTCTTATGCATATAGGAAACCTTTACAAATGGTTTGGAATGCTCATAATTCAAATATGAACTATAGACTTGATGATAATGATTTGAATGATATAAAAGAACTTATAGAATTCTTAAAAGTTTTTTATCTAGCTACAAAAAAATATCTACACTTTATTATCCAATTATTTGCTTTGTTTTATCAAATATTTGTGCTATTTCTAGTAAATTTTATAAATTCAAAAATAAACCAAAATTTGAAGATCCTGTTAAGAAAATGATTGAAATTTTTTAGAAATATTTTATTCCTATTCCTCAAATTTATTTAACTGCTTGTTTGTTAAACCCACATTACAAAGATGAAGGTGCATCACGAATGGTTGATAAAATTTATTTTAATGTAGGTATTGAAGATGATGAAACACCTAGTTGTCAAGAAGTTAAAGATAGTATAAAAATTGAAGCTAGAAAATTGTATGACTTGTATAAATCTCATATAAGAACTGTAGTACGTAATGAAGAACCTCAAAGTTCTTGTTGTAGATATAATGAAGATGATATTGATGATATGCTAGATTGTTATCTTGAACTTTCTCATAATGATAGAAATGATTTTGATGCATATATTAATCAAATACGGAAACTATTAAGGCCTCACAAGGTTTTACTGATCTTCTTCTAGATTGGTGGAGCAATCACGACAAGGGATTTCCAAAATTTCAACCGGTTGCTCGAGATGTGTTAGCTATTCAAGTATTTTTAGTAGCTTCGGAAAGCGCTTTTAGTGCAACAAGATTTCAACTTGGAGAGCATAGATATTCATTAGCAGCAGATAGCTTGGAGATATCAGTACTATTTGGAGATTGGATTAATGGCGAGAGAAGGAGTGATGAGCGTCCAACTTTACCTACCAAATTTGAAAATGATATTGATGAAATGATGCAAGATTTTAGTGACGACGACATTGATGCATTGGATGAACTATCCAATCAACCAATTCCAGATCATGTTACCAAAGAAATGTTAAATGATTTAAGAAAAGATTGGCTTGGTAGCATGAACTATTAAATGTCTATTAGTATGAATATGATAATTCGATGTCTAATTCAAACAAAACCCTTCCTAGAAGGTGGCTGTGTAGATTAGGTCTTTTAATCCTCTACTAATATTTTGTAACTCTAATTGTACTATTTAATTAATATTAATAAAACTATAGGCTATTCGCCTTAATTTTTCTTATTATTGTCTTCAACTTTTATAATTTTTAAAGTTTGAAATTTATACTTTTAAACTTTTAAAATTTGAAATTTAAACTTTTAAAGTTTGAAATTTTATTTTTAAACTTTTATACTTTTAAAGTTTGAAATTTAAATTTTTAAACTTTTAAAGTGTGAAATTTAAACTTTTATAGTTTTAAAGTTTGAAATTTAAAATTTTAAACTTTTAAAGTATGAAATTTAAACTTTTATAGTTTTAAAGTTTTAAAGTTTGAAAATTTAAATTTTCAAACTTTTATAGTGTGAAATTTAAACTTTTATACTTTTAAAGTTTGAAAGGTTGTATTTTAAACTTTAAAAGTTTAAAAGTATAGATTTTTAACTTTAAAATTATAAAAGTTTTAATATTATTTGATTAATGTTCCTAATTTTTTAATTTTAATAAGTAAATTTTTTTTTTAAAAAAATGTAGCCGTTGGACCCAGTTTCCGGTTTTTTTTTTTTAAAAATGTAGCCGTTGGTCCCAGTTTCCGGTCCGATCCGGTCCCGATACCGTACCGGTCCGGGACAGATATACATATATTTTTTCGGAATTACCGGTTCCAGTGCCTTTCCGCCCAACGGTACCCGGTTCCGGTCGCTCCCGGTCCGGTAGTCCCGCTACCGGTTCCGTTGCCATGCTTACCTGGAAGTGGAAAAATTGTGTAACACCCCAAAAAAGAAATTCTAAGTTGAGACCCAAACTATTCTTTATTTACGTATAAGGTCGTATCGGGTGATCTTAAATTTCTCATATGTGTAAAGTCAATTCTTTAGTGTGGAAATGGATTTGGATATGAATTAAGGTCACAAGAACTCCCTAACACAAAGTTGAGTTGAAAACTTCCTTACCAATTAAGTTTTGACATGAGATTCTATTTGAGTCAACTTCAAACAATCATATCTCTCAACATATAATGAATTAGGTGACCCATGACATATCAAATTAAATGTCTATGAATCCTCTTTCTAACACCACCAAGTTTGTTTTTCATTTTGAATTCAAAGTAAAAAGTTATGCCCATTTTAGTGAAGCCCTGTTAGACAGTCAAAGTTCTACGGATGGCAATACGGCCAGTGGAATGTTCCACGGACCGTAGAGTCATCCAGGAAGGCTTGTTGCACTTTTTTCAGCAACTTAAGGCACACTTTCTAGGGATAACTACAACTCAAAGTACATTAAACCTGGTAAATGTCGATAATTATCGAACATGCATAAAGTTCTAATGTGTTAAACCAAAGAGAATCAGACATTAATAGTATTAGTCATACAAGTCTTTTCTCCTATATTACGTCGATTTGATAAGTCGTGAACCATTAATTATATTTTATTCCTAAAATGACATCTAACTAAGTAATTTTTTTACTTATTATTTAAATAAAATTAAACTATATAATTAAATAATTTTAAAATGCAATTTATACAATATTGGATAATTATTTAAACCAATATAATTAAATAATTATTTTCTATATATTGGAACATGATTGATGAATATAAAGATCCCAAGAATATATTCAAGATTTAAGTTAGAAGGGTAAAAATTTAATTGTAATTTTTGTATTAGATATTTTAATTGAAAATGCTTGGCCATTCCAAACAGGCTCTAAAGGACCATTTTTGTCATTTTCTCCAATGTATTTACGTCATAACTGATAAACAAAGGGATATCGAAAAAGAAAAATGTGGGAATTGGTTCCTTCGCTTTCACACACTGTTTCTGTGAAGTTTAAATTTCAGATTCCAAAACCCAGAAATTGTATAACAATAAGGCCATGGATGAACAAGTACAACTCAATTCGATGTGCCGGAAAAGTCAATCGATGGTCCCTTAATGGCATGAATGCCCTTGTCACTGGTGGCACTAGAGGCATTGGGTCCGTTTTCAGTTCTCCCTTTTCATTTGCTTGTGCTTTTTTAAGGATACTATATATCTTTATAGCCATGTGATATAAGCTTAAATGAAGAAATAATGATTCATATAGCCGATTCAAAATTGTTTGGGACTGAGGTGTAGTTGTTGTAATTATTGTTGTTGTTGTGTTTCTTTATATCCATGGGATATAAGCTTAAATGAAGATTTAATATAGCTGATTCAAAATTGTTTGGGACTGAGGTGTAGTTGTTGTTATTATTGTCGTTGTATTTCTTTATATTCATGGTATATGAGCTTAAATAAGAAATGGAGATTTAATATAGCTGATTCAAAATTGTTTGGGACTGAGGTGTAGTTGTTGTTATTATTGTCGTTGTATTTCTTTATATTCATGGTAAATAAGCTTAAATAAGAAATGGAGATTTAATATAGCTAATTCCAAATTGTTTGGGACTATCTTTATATCCACGGTATTTGAGCTTAAATGAAGATATGAGGGTTCATATAGTCAATTTCAACTTGTTTGAGATTGAGGCGTAGTTTTTATTGTCGTTGTATATCTTTATATCCATGGGATTTGAGCTTAAATGAAGAAATGAGGATTCTCATGGCTGATTCCAATTTTTTTAGGACTGAGGTGTAGTTGTTGTTATTGTCATTGTATATTCATAGGATATGAACATAAATGAAGAATTGTGGATTCATTTAGCCGATTTCAATTTGCTTAAGGTTGAGGTGTAGTTGTTGTTATTATCATTGTATATCTTGATATCCCTGGGATATGAGCTTAAATGAAGAAATGAGGATTCAATATAGCTGATAACAACTTGTTTGAGACTGAGGCGTAGTTATTGTCGTTGCATATACTTATATCCACGGGGCTTAAATGAACAAATGGAGATTCATATAGCTAATTCCAACTTGTTTGGGACTGAGGCATAATTGTTGTTATTATCCTTGTATATAATCTTATATCCATTCACACATTAATTGAGTTTTTACATAATTACTGTAGAATGTTGCTTGCTTTATTTTGAACTTTATAATTTCATTTATTATGGGTAGTTACACCATTAATTACTTTAATGTACAACAACAACATACCCAGTGTTATATCAGAAAATGGGTTTGAAGAGGGTAGGTGTACATAGTCCTTACCCTTACCTAGTAATTTAATTACTTTAATGTGACTTATAATATCCTTTTATTTTCATTTTTTTTCCAGTTATGACTTCTATTGTAAAAGATATGACTTAGTAGTGTTTTGAATGATATTGTAAGCAGTATTCACTTTTCAGATAGAGGATATAACTGATGTTCGATTTTATTGTAAATTTTTTGAGGTGGAGTGGTTTTTGTGTAGTTTCTAGAATATACATTTTATTTCAAGACAACCAAGGATTTCATGTACATTTCACATGATAAAGTTATATGCTTTGATCTTGTACTCTGAATCATCATTTGTTTTGAGACAGAAGAAATAACCAATATAGCCACAAGTCCAGTATTTTTTTATCTAGTTTTCTTGAAAATCCGAGTATAACTACGCATTTGTATTTGACAATGTGAATTGTTGTATAATTAGGCATGCGATAGTGGAGGAATTGTGTGGACTGGGAGCCACTGTGCATACGTGTGCCCGAAATGAAGATGAGCTTGGAACATGTTTGAGGAGCTGGAAAGATGAGGGCTTTACAGTGTCTGGTTCCTTGTGTGATGTGTCTTCTCAAGTTGATCGCCAAAAGTTAATGGAGGTTGTTTCGTCTACATTCAATGGGAAGCTCGACATTCTTGTAGGTGTCTTTTCTTTTTGATTGTTTATTCTCTTAGGTAGAAAAGTTTTCCCTTTAAAATTATGACTGACTTGAGCAGAATGGATATCATATAATCGACCTCAACCAGTTGGAACAAATAGATGATTTATGGAAAGTTTTTTTTATCTTCCACAAAATGATTCTGTCTCGTAAGATGTTTCTGGAAAAGCTTATATATAACTACTCTTTAACAACCAAGAAATCCTAGAGGCCCAATGGTGTGCGGTTCGAATTTCTTTGGATAATTATCCCAGATTAGCACCAGATTATGTATGACTGTTGTTGGTGCATATAGAACTCATATACCAACATTAGATTGATAATTGGGTTAATCTGCAAGAGATACAGCTGAATTATCTTTCAGTGTTGAACCTTGAAATTTTTTGGCAAACTGGCATTTCTCCAGTTGCATATAAGAAAAAACTAAATGAGTAGGAGATTTAGTGGTATTGGGATCATTGTTGGATAATACATTGCATCATATATCTCTTTGCTCCTCAAGTTATACATGATGTCTGCTTAACTAATCATTCATAATGTTGGACCTGGCACCTCAGTGTTAAAAAAAATATCTGTGAACGTATGATACATCTAGCTTTATTGGCTGGATTGCATGCACTAATAGATGAACTAGTTGGCTTTCTTTTATTGATCAGTAGATAAACAACGCGGGGACTAATATTCGCAAAGCTATGGTGGATTTTACAGCTGAAGAGTTTTCCAGCCTCATGGCAACAAATTTTGAATCTGTTTTCCATCTGTGTCAGCTGGCCTATCCCCTTTTGAAAGCATCCGGGGCTGGAAGTGTTGTGTTCACTTCTTCTGTCTCAGGTTTTGTCTCATTGAAATCTATGTCTTTACAAGGAGCAACAAAAGGTATGGTCTTTCCTTTTTTTTCAAGACTTTATGGTTGATAGAGAGTAACGATGATGAAATGCCATCATTTTTTCCACTTGAATGTTGTCCACAGGAGCAATTAATCAACTTACAAAAAATTTGGCATGCGAGTGGGCTAAAGACAACATCAGGAGTAATGCTGTTGCACCTTGGTACATCAAAACATCCATGGTGGAGCAAGTAATTCCATACTTTCTTCTCTTCAGTAATCCATGGTTATCTTTGATGAACTGCGTATTTTAGGTATTCTCTGAGGTTGTCTTTGGTCTCTAGTACATGCATCCTATTTTGTCTAAGATACCAGCATCATTAGAGTGTTATATGTTTGTTATTTTCCTTTTTGTTGAGGTTCATATTCAAGAGTATTTATATGCTTTTATATCCAATGCTTATGCTTTTTCATGCTAATCCCTGACGCTGCTGCAAATGGGGAGAAGAGGAAACAAAACTGAGCACCGAAAGAGTGGCGTTTTTTTTCTTAAGAAGATTAGTTTATCTTAACAAAGAGAGTAGGTTCTTGGGGGTGGAGAAATGGTCAAGTAAGTTCTGAAATACAGGTGCTGGATTATATAAGAACTAATAAAATTACCCGCGCTTCGCTCGGGTATTTAATATTACGGAATTTATAAAATAACACTTGGAACCTATCAGTCATTAAAACGAAAACACTATATTATCTTATATACAAGATTACGTAGTAACAAACATTAATAATGTAAAGGAAAATGAAAATTATAACGTCTTATCATATATCCTTAATAACATAAGCATAAATTAATGACTGTAAAAATACATACCAGGATCTGTAACATAAGCAATGGTGTCAGTGAGCCAATCAACAGGAGCATAGTACACGAATATTTAATTGTGCAGAAGAAGAAGAAGAGGAGGTTAAGAATTTTCGTTGTTTTAAAGAAATCCCTCTATTTATAGACAACAAAGGGTAGTGTGAACAAATGTTTATTGTGCCTTATCGGAAAGATTACAACTATTTGGAAAAGTTGCAATCCTTCGGATAGGTCACAACCTTTCATTAAAGTCGCAACTTTTCATAAAAGTCAAAACTTTTCATAAAAGTCGTAACTCTTCATTAAAGTTGCAACATTTCATTCATAAAAGTCTCAACTCTTCATAAAAGTCGCAACTCTTCATTAAAGTCGCAACTTTTCATAAAAGTCTCAACTCTTCATAAAAGTCGCAACTCTTCATTAAAGTCGCAACTTTTCATAAAAGTCTCAACTCTTCATAAAAGTCGCAACTCTTCATTAAAGTCGCAACTTTTCATAAAAGTCATAATTTTTCATGAAAGGGGAAGGCTAGTTTTGGAAATAAATAAATTAAAAGAGAATTCTGCTTTGTGGTAGCGCCACGTAGGCGGGCCTAGGGTTCTCTTTTATATATATATATATATATATATACATATATGATATATGATTATATAAGGGGAACATGTAGAAGGATTGGACAATTGGTTTAGATCGGTGATTGTAAAACTTCCTTTTAGCGATCTTAATCTGCATTTAAAATTCTGGAACTATGGACCTAGCTGAACTGGAGAGCCCCGGATTCTCACGGGTATCATTGAATTACGCTAGGTACCATATGAATATGGTGGTTTGAATGAAGATAAAAAGAAAATGTCTTTTAGATTGTTTGAATTTCTGGGAGGAAAAAGGAAACTCACTGATTTTGGCTGAAAAGTCGATGTGACTATTGCAGCACAGTGCCCACCGTATCCTACTTCCTTTGTATAAAAAAAAAGGAGGTAGTCATGGAAAGAATATGCTCATGACTAGCAGAGTGCAGACCAGACGAGAGATGTCTAGTCTGGATTGCTGTCATTCTGTAATGGTCTCGTGCTGAGCCACTTCTCCCCTGCTGTTGCTATCATAGTTACTATGAACTGCAAACTCAATCGTCAAGTCATGGTATAGACAGAAGAAGGAAGAGGAGCAATGATAGGTGAGCTCTTTACTCATTTGTTCAAGCTGAACTCTAAAGCCACAAAGTGAAGCTGAGCAACTGCCAGCATGTAAATGGAGAGAGCCACTCAATGGTTGTCGAGGCGAGAGGAATATGATAGAGAACAGAGGCAGAGTTAGTGTATCACACACAGGAAATTGGCAAAAAGAAGGTGAGCTAGGCTTTCGCTAGAGAGGTTGGTAGCGAAGGAGTGTAATAATCTAGCCATAGCTCTTGCTTCGGGCAGAAAGGTTGCTTTGGCTCCTTTCATACTATCTCATCTATACCGAGGCTATAGAAGCTTAGTTACTCGAGGATTTGGTCATGCGGGGGGGACTTTCTGGATCCTACAGCTCTAGCTGTAGTCTTACTTTCCACAGTATAGACCTTTGCCTTACGATACACAGAACTGTACGACTTTAAGGATTGCCCTGGATCAAGGGAAGTTAAAACAGAACAGCTTACGAGAATGTTGTAAGTTCTTTTACTCATGTTCCTCCATATCTCCTAGTCATTTCACTCTATATTCACCTAGATGGCTGAAATTGCCGGTGCATATTCCATCTGGTAAGCTAGCTCTAGACGATATCTGGTCCAGCTTCCTTATTCCTCGAGACCTCCAGTATGGTCTCACAATAGGGAACTCAAGTGTTGGAAAAGCTGGAGTGGAGTATTACTCTCCAAATCAGTTTGCACGGTAGTTCGGCGTGACACATACAACTTCTCTACCTCCTTATTAGTCTGCCAATGCTTCACCACTCGAAAGGATCGTTTTCAATTCAGAAAGTGGCATTAGAGAAGTGGATTCGAAGTTTGATCAACTGAAGAGAAATTTCTCAGTTGTCGAATTTCATCCTAATCCCAAATGTACGCCATCATTTGAGTCGTGGTGGTCTACTTACATAAGTAAAACACGGACCTAATCAGCTGAGCAGATCCTAGATAGGATTATCGGTGAGGAAGCAATCAAGAAAGAAGGAATAAAGGTATTGTATACGAAACTTTTCCCTTCATGTATAATACAGTCAAAGCTTGTAACATGACACTTACTCATCAATCAATATACTTTTGTTTCTTTTTTTTGTAGACTCTATTTCGCGGCAAGGGCAAGAAAAAGATAAGAGGCCTTCGAAAAATGCAAAGAGGGAACTGGTCCTTCCTGAAAGTTAAATCCTTGAAGTCAAATTGTTGGTTTAGACATGCAATTTTTGTCAGTTAATATTAATCTTCTCCCTTTCTTGTTTCAGAATATCGAACATTCTGCTGGTGTACCTGGCTCAAGTCACTCGTCTGTTAATCGTCATCAGAAGTCTGTCGCTGATGAAGTAAGTACACATTCTTATGAAATACATTGTTATAGAAAATATGTTTGTTTATTTGTTAAAAACGACCTTATGTTTTAAATCTTTTGCTAGGATGTTGCACCTTTATTGTCCAATGTCAAGTCACCTGCAGCACAATACTCAGCAGAAGTACTTGACAAAGCTAAAGCTGAAGTTTAGAAGCTACTAATGATGCCTTTGCAACAAGTGTTTCTCCCGGAAAACTATTCATCTTTAGAGGCTGCTCTTCCTATATATGCTGAATCACCTGATCTCTCGGTTGAGAAAGCACGTAATTTGGAGGAACTCAGAAGAAATCTTCCATCTCTACTTGCAAATTTTCAGGAGGCAAAGAAGCAGAAGGACGAGTATTACAAAGAGAGTGCCAGGAAGGTAATGTTGGTCGATGATATTATTAACAGGAGCTTCACACGGAACTTAAAGACCTTCTCGATGGAGTTCAGAGAAGGTCTTTGAGTTCAGTGTGAAGCTCCTGTTTTCTAATAATATCATCGACCAACATAGATAATTGAATTATCTTTCCAACGCCACCGAGTTTGCTAAATTCCGACCTCCGAGTAAAAAGTTATGCTCGTTTTAGTGAAGCCCTGTCGGGCAGACTCGACTTACGGACCCAATCGACGGTCCGTCGATTGACCTACGGCCCGTCAGTCCAAACCGTCAGTCACTCCGACAGCAGTTAATTCAGGGGGTCTTTTGGTCTTTTCCTATAGCGTTTAACCCCTAAGATACGTCGTTTTGACCCTAAATCATGAGGTTTTAATCAGTTTAAACCTAGAAACATAACTAGAACTTATCCAAATCAAATCATTGCCTCCTGAAAATTTACGAGTAGAGATGGAAGATTTCTTCTGAGTTCCTCCAAATTACGTGCTTTCTCAACCAAGAGATCAGGTGATTCAGCATATATAGGAAGAGCAACCTATAAGGATGAATAGTTTTTCGGGAGAAGCACTTATTGCAAAGGCATCATTAGTAGCTTCTGAACTTCAGCTTTAGCTTTGTCAAGTACTTCTACTGAGTATTGTGTTGCAGGTGACTTGACATCAGACAATAAAGGTGCAACATCCTAGCTAAAGATTTAAAACATAAGGTCATTTCTAACGAATAAACAAACATATTTTCTATAACAATGTATTTCACAAGAATGTGTACGTACTTCATCAGCGAAAGAATTCTCATGATGATTAACAGATGAGTGACTTGAGTCAGGTACACCAGCAGAATGTTCGATATTCTGAAACAAGAAAGGGAGAAGATTAATATTAACTGACAAAAATTGCATGTCTAAACCAACAATTTGACTTCAAGGATTTAACTTACAAGAAGAATCAGTTCCCTCTTTGCATTTTTCGAAGGCCTCTTATCTTTTTCTTGCCCTTGCCGCGAAATAGAGTTTACAAAAAAAGAAACAAAAATATATTGATTGATGAGTAAGTGTCATGTTACGAGCTTTGACTGTATTTTACATGAAGGGAAAAGTTTCGTATACAATACCTTTATTCCTTCTTTTCTTGATTGCTTCCACACCGATAATCCTATCTAGGATCTGCTCAGCTGATTCAGTTCGTGTTTTACTTATGTAAGTAGACCACCACGACTCAAATGATGGCGTACATTTGGGATTAGGATGAAATTCGACAACTGAGAAATTTCTCTTCAGTTGATCAAACTTCGAATCCACTTCTCTAATGCCACTTTCTGAATTGAAAACGATCATTTCGAGTGGTGAAGCGTTGGCAAACTGATGAGGAGGTAGAGGAGCTGTCTGTGTCAAGCCGAAATGCCATGCAAACTGATTTGGAGAGTAATACTCCACTCTAGCTTTTCTAACGGTTGAGTTCCCTATTGCGAGACCATACTAGAGGTCTCGAGGAATAAGGAAGCTGGACCAGATATCATCTAGAGCTAGCTTACTAGATGGAATATGCACCGGCAATTTCAGCCATCCAGGTGAATATAGAGTGAACTGACTAGGAGATATGGAGGACTAAAAACATTCTCGGAAGCTGTTCTGTTTTAACTTCCCTTGATCCAGGGCAATCCCTAAAGTCGTACAGTTCTGTGTATCGTAAGGCAAAGGTCTATACTGCGGAAAGTATGACTGCAACCAGAGTTGTAGGATCCAGAAGGGCCCACCTGCAGGACCAAATCCTCGGGAAACTAAGCTTCTACAGCCTCGGTATAGATGAGATAGTATGAAAGGAGTCAAAGCAACCTTTCTGCCCGAAGCAAGAGCTATGGTTAGATTATTATACTCCTTCACTACCAGTCAGTTAGTTTGAACTTGACGAAGTTGGGTCAGAGCGGATGTAACAACAGATGTAAAAATCTCAAGCAAAGTCAAGAACACGACTCTTTGCTGGTAGCATAGACAAGAACAATTTACTTTGCATCATCATGTCAAAATTTGTAGCTGCATCAAATATTCATTATTTCAAAAGAAAATTCCAAACATCAATCAAACAAAACAGGTGGATCAAGTTGATATTACAACAAAAGGGACTCTTGTCAGTAAGCACCAGGTAAACAAAATTCAGAAGAAGAAAAAGAATCAAGCATTGAGTGAAGGAGAAACATCAACCAACAACAAAAGTAAGGGAGGAAGCGCGAAAGAAAATTTATTCCCCATTAAAGTGCTGGAGGAGACCTGATGCTAAATGCAATCAGCTTGGACACGAAGCAGTGATTTGTAAAAATAAGGCCCTACATCAGAATGCAAATGCTCAAGTTGTTGATTAAGAAGAAGAGGATCATCTTTTTGTTGCACTAACCACATGACTAATGACAGTGGTCTATTCAAGGAATTGAAGCCCACTGAAGTTTCCAAGGTTCGGATAGGAAATGGAGACAAGCACTGGAATTGGAACTATAACTATCAAGACAAGCACTGGCATAAAGAAAATTTCAGAGGTTCTTTATGTTCTTGAAATTGATCAAAATTTGCTAAGTGTAGGACATTTGATTGAAAAAGGATTCAGAATTTTTTTCGAAGGTCATCACTGCCAAATCACTGACACTACTGGAAATGAGCAACTAGATTATTCCAGAAAGGCAAGCATTATTGTTGCTGAAGAAGGAAGATATGACAAGAGGATTACCAACTCTAGTTGATCACCTACCACGTTGTCAAGCTTGTCAATTTGGTAAGCAGAATAGGAAGCAACATGGCGGACTTCTCAAAGGTCACAACTGGTTAACACAGATGTTGCAGGACCTCAAAGAACACTGTCCCTTAATGGTAGTCTATTCATTGACACTTATACAAGATTCTGCTGGATTTTTTTTCTTCATGAAATACAAATCAGAAGTGGCCGGAATTTTCTGGATGTTGAAGAAGATGATGGAAAATCAAAGTGGTTGCAGCACTCAATCCCTTGCGGTCTGACAATGGAAAAGAGTATAATTATGAAGAATTTAACAAATTTTGTGAGGAAGCAAGTATTACTCATGAGCTCACTGCTCCATATACTCCGCAACAAAATGGAATTAGTGAAAGAAGGAACCGATATATAATGGAGATGACGCGGTGCATGTTGCATGACAAAGAGTTGTCAAAAAGTTTTTGGGCTGAGGCAGCTAATACAACAGTATTTCTCCAAAACTGGCTTCCCACTATAGCATTGCAGAGTAAAACTGCATTCAAGGCTTGGAATGGATTCAAACCATCCCTAAAGCTTCATTAAAATATTTGGTTTTGTTTCTTTCTTTCATGTGTCGCAAGTTAAAAGAGACAAACTTGATAAAAAGTCAGTTCGTGAAATCTCTGTGGTTTATAGCTCATCCTCCAAGGCCTACAAAGTAATAGTCCACAAATTTGCCTTAACTTATCAAGGAAAAGTTTGCCTTAGAACCTTGAGGATGACAACGCACATGAAGCGAGGTGAAGTGAAGCGCTCAACACGTTATGAGCCTCGCTTCAGGGCCTAAGCGTGCTTAAAGCGCGCCTTTGACTACACTAACTTCTATCTGAAACCTACCAACAAAGTAATGTGACAATTTGTAAGCCTACAGGGCATGAGGAAGCGCTTCAAGATTAAAAAAAATGGAGAAAGGCTATGGAGCATGAGATGCTAATGATCAAGAAAAACAATACTTGGGAGTTAGTTGACAGGTCGAAAGATAGGAAGCCATTGGACTAAACTGGGTGTTTAGAACCAAGCTTAGTTTTGATGGTTCTATCAATAAATACAAGGCTAGGCTTGTTTTCAACGGATATGCCCAATTATTTGGTGTTGATTACTCAGAAACCCTAGCTCCAGTAGCCGGATTGGATACCATTAGACTGTTGCTAGCAATAGCAGCACAAAAGGGCTCGAAAATGTACCGGCTAGATGTGAAATCTGCTTTTTAAATGGTGTAGTGCGGAAAGAAATTTATGTAGAGTAGCCCGAGGGTTTCGTTGAGCAAGGAAAAGAAGAAAAAGTATGTCTGGTTAAAAAAACTTTATAGCTTAAAACAAGCTCCAAGAGTGTGGTATAGCAGGATTGATGATCACTTGTTGAGTTTAGGGTTTGTAGGAAGTGTATCTGAAGTTACTCTTTATGTCAAGCATAAAGGAATTGATCTTCTCATTGTTTCCGTTTTATGTTGATGATCTCTTGGTGACGGGAAAAATTGTGTGGCTGGTTGAAGAGTTTAAGAAGAAAATGGTGCAAGTCTTTGAGATGACAGACCTTGGACTCATGAAATACTTTCCGGGAATGGAAATCAAGCAATGTTGTGATGAAATTTTTATCTGCTAAAAGAAGTATCCCGGGGAGATACTTAAGAAATTCCATATGGGAAATTGCAAGGCAACAAGCACACCAATGAATCTAAAGGAGAAGTTAAGCAAAGAGGATGGAATTGATAAAAGTGATGAAGGAAATTTTAGAAGCTTGATTGGATGCTTGATGTATCTCACTTCTACAAGGCAGATAATCTATTTGTTGCAAGTCATTTATCTAGATTAAATGCATTGTGCTACTGAAATGCATTTGCGAGCAGCAAAAGGAATCATAGGACGCATTAAAGGTACTATCAAATATGGTGTCAAATTCAAGAAGTGTGAGAATTTCTAGCTGTATGGTTTCTCAGACAGTGATTGGGCTGGATCCATTGACGACATGAAAAGTACATTAGGATATTGTTTCAGTCTGGGATCAGGGATTTTCTCTTGGTGTTCAAAAAAACAGGAAACTGTGGCACAATCGCCAGCAGAGGTTGAATTCATTGCAACAACGACATCAACAAATCAAACCTTGTGGCTGAGAAAAATATTTTCTGATTTGCATATGGAACAAAAAGTTAATGCACTAGCTATTTCGCATAATCCCGTGTTCGATGGGAAGACTAAACACTTCCACATCAAGCTATTTTTCTTGAGGGATGTGCAGAAAAACGGAGAAGTGATTCTTGTTTGTTGCAAATTTGAAGATCAACTAGCAGATGTACTTATGAAATCCCTCTCTATCAACAAGTTCGAGTTACTAAGGCAAAAACATGGAATTTGCAGCTCCTAATGCAAGGAGTATTAGTTAGTTACTTTAGGACTGCAGTATCTATTTCTAAGTTTCTTATATTTCTCTTTTCAATTATTTTAGGAGGTAGTTACCATGGTTAGCACCATGATCTATTTCAGTTTATTTCTTGTATGTTTATGTATCTATTTTTCTATAGTGTTAAACACACTCTACGTAAGTGTTTCTCTCAATCATCTTCTTCATTTTTAGTTCCTTATAATTTCCTGCTTTCTCGTTTGTATTAAACTAGACATTCTCTTAATTGTCTTATTTTCCACTTTCTTATAAAAAAATAATAGTTTCTGCATCTAACCCTTCATGTTTTAGATTCTTATTTGTAGCTGCATCAAATATCCTTTTTCATGTTCAGGTACTGAGTAATAAAGATTATTTACAAGAAGTATATGACCGCACTCCACTGGGGCGCCTGGGAGAACCATCTGAGGTTTCATCTCTTGTGGGATTCCTTTGTTTGCCTGCATCTTCCTACATCACCGGTCAGATAATCTGTGTTGATGGTGGAATGTCTGTAAATGGCTTCTACCCTCACCATGACTAGAGGAATAACTGCCCATAGAGTAATGCTACAGATTTGCAGGAGAAAAGTTTGTCGCGTGTGCATCTCAAATGCATCATTGGCTGGACATTCCATGAGTAGTGGAGAAGTTGCTTCTTAGCAGGTTTGTTATTTTGTTTTGAAAACTGGATCAATTTTTCACATGACTTTGTGAGCATGCTAAGAGATTTTATTTTGTTCTGTCAGAATTTCGGCAAATATGAGGCCACTCATTAATTTTCACCTTCAGTTACTCCCTTAAATGTTTTCTCATTTGAATAATTTGAGCTAATAATATTAATAACATTGTCATTAACAATAATATAATCATCATATATCATATTCATTCATTCATATATCATTTAAAGTGGGAAGCTCCAACCTTCAAAGTTGGATTACCATTTTGCCCCTCCACTAAATCAAAATAAAATTAATTATTTATGAATACTAATATTTTAGTTACATAATGGTGGATATGATGTCCAACAACTACACTTTAATTTTTTAGTTATGACATTATAATTATAATTGATTAGGTTAAATTCAATTAGAGTAGAAGACAAAATAATGTATAAAACTCTTCCAATTCAGTGACTCATTGAATTTTGAAACCAAAATAAAATTTATGTATCATAATTCTTATTTTAATTCAATGTGATAGCACTGCTGAAATTGATACAGTACAAAACTATTATTACAATGGCAAATCCAGACCTATAATAAGGAAACACATTAATGTGAGATCATGTTTGACAAGTGGTATCATTAATGTTGATTATGTCAAGTCTTGTTATAATCCTGTAGATCCTCTAACTAAGTCCTTAACAAGAGAAAAGATTTGGAGCACACATAGAGGGATGTGATTGAAATCTATAAATCCTTGAGACGTATATGAGGAAATCCAACCTAGGGACTAGAGATCTTATAACCAGGTTCAATGGAAAAAATGAATCATATGATGACTTGTTCTGAAATATGCACTTTTTACTCCCTCCCTATGATGTGAGTGCATTGTTTCGTGTAGTGATTTGCAAAGGTTGAGTTTACAAAACTCTTTCTGAAAATTTGTAGCCCATATGTGTGGAATGTTAAACTTTCAAGAGCACTCTAGACAGATTTCACCTATATGAGTGTGGAAGTAGGTCACTTCCTATGAGAGTTAGGCTTATTCTCAAAAGAACTCATGATACCGGGATAGCCCAAGGCAGTAACGTGGTGGCTTTTAAAGCTGATTTCAACACCTTGATTATTATGTGTAGGCAGTGATATTTTATTTCCCTTAAGCATTCATAGTTCAATACTGAAACAACTACGACTTTGGAGTAAAAGTTACTGTTCTAGTAAGTAAAGGTTCAATGCAGAGAACACCTTCATTATGCATAGCAGTCTTCCTTCAGCTGATATACTGTCTTGTCCAATATTTAAATGAGTAGGGGATTTTTAATGTGGGAATTTTAGTATTATAAAATTATGCATATTTGCATTGCCATATTGATAATTTTCTGTCCGTTGGAGGTGTCTTACTTTCCTCTATTCATTGCTGCATTAGAACATTGGAGGTATGTGTCCCTAATTACTCATTTTGGTGTAAATGGTCTTTAGGCTTAATTGCGTTTGGTTATTGTCTGGGCCTTTGGTTATTGTCTGGATGTGGTCTTCCAAAGGCCATTACTTCTCCATTGAAATTTCATTTTATTTCATTATCATATAACCTCTAGGCCATTTATCTTCTCTATTATTACACCACTATATTCCTAATCATTGCAAGGAAAACTTCCTCACCTATAAATAGTGATGGTCTCCTTTGTTTTGTGTACAAGAAAATAGAGAGTACATAAAAGTTAGTCAAAAAAAGAGTTCTTGTTAGTTGAAGGGAGGTGTTCTTTTTTAGAGCTTTGGACTCAACTTTTGTACATAGACTAGTGGTGAATATTAACCACACAATAATACCTCTTAATGATATTAAGATTATTTCAATGTTTTAATTATTAATACCTATTCAGATTAATAAAAATAAATGTATTTAATGACTTAAGGTCTGAACCATTTAGATATAGACCTTCATAAAGTGCAAACAAAGTGATCAAATTTACCTGGTATATAAAGGTCGTTTTCTTTCTTTTTTCAAAAAGTTGTCATTGACTTGAGTCACAGACATTTTTTGCTCACCTCAACCATGTCTCCCAGAAATAACAGTATCTAAAAAACACTCACAAATACTCAAGGACAATTTTTCCATGAATTCAATTTGAAGTTAAACTTCAATTTCTTTTGGTATTTGAAAATATTTTAAAATTGGTTTCATAAAATTCACTCCAAATCACTCACAAAAGTTCAAACTAGTTACAAATTGCATTCATGTTTAAACATAACTTCAATTTCCAAATACAATTTTCAACTTGGAAAACAAATTCTACTCTTCTTCCTCTCCTTGTCCTTCTCCTTCTCTTTCTCCTTCTCCCCCTCCTTCTTCTTCCAATGAACTTTCTTCGGAAGAACTTTCTTCTTCGATGCAAATACCTAGATAAAATTATATACAGAAATTGAAAAGAATTATAAGTGATTTAGACTTGTTTCAAATAAAAATTAAACCTAAAAAATATATTTATGACATGTGTATGTAACGTTGTAAAAATTCATGTTGATGAAATAACATCATGAGTTTCATGTGAACCCCATGCTTTCTTGGAAATACAAGTTTTCTTACTTCTGCCAAGACGTAATAAATTGAAGTTTGTAATGAAAAAATGAACTAAATTGCTACTGGATATTTCAAATACTATCAATTTTTGAAAGCATTTAGTTGTTAATATGGAAAACAATGTTTCTTTGAACACAAGAGGAGGTGATACTAGTCATTAATTTAAATTGAAGTTGCAGAAGGTTGATAACATAAGACTTATAAAAGACATTAAATTTAAAAGAAAATATATAGCTAATCTCGATGGTTGATAGGTATTGTTTCATAATGTATCGTATTATTGTATTTCTGTTGTAGTGTATCATACTGTACTTTTTTAATGAACAATATTTAGATACATTGTATCATTCTTCATTACATCATGTCATATGTCAAACAATTTGAATGATAAACCTATAAGAGAAGTAGAATATATGTTAGAGCCTCTATCAAAAGGTAGGTAAAGGATACATATGATTATTAAATAATTGGTAAATGAAAAAAATAAAATGAAAATATTCATATCATGAAACAATCACACAAAATCGGTCGTGACAAAAAATGAATTTTTTTTGTTGTTACCTAACAATAGATTTAACAATTCATACAATAAACTTTAATTAACAATCAAAACTAACCGGTACGTACCTTCGATAATAAATCTTCTGATGTCATTTAACTTTGCAGCAATATACTCCTGATTAGCAATCGTCACATTGTGGGAGGGCGTTTTGTGCACACAAGCTAAGGTTTGGTGGAAGCAAAACATGCGATTATCAACATCTTTGTCCAACACTTTAACTTTTTTGTACCCATTAGTCTTAGTATCATACTCATACAAATGATCTTCTGCAAAGGTAGTTTTTACCACAAAATACACATCTTTACAATCTATCAAGACTGGAAAGCCTTTAATAATGTCCCGAGGGCCCAAAATAAAATTGTCCAAGATATGGGAAACCTTCCAATTGTTGTTTGAATTATTACAAGTACTAATGACTATGGACTTTTTGAAAATGGATACAAGGGTGAGTAAGCCTTGTGTCACCCCTAGCCATATATCGTGACCAATTAAGGTTTTACCATAGTTGAGATCAAATTGATCAACAAATTGAGGACGGTCAATTAGTATAGACTATTCTCTCTTTGTATCAAAACCGAGAATGCTACTGTCACTTCTAAGCCAATATAGATAATTGTGCCAGTAAACAGGTGGACAGTAAAATGATAAAGAGATGGAAGTATTGGCTCTCAATTGGATTTCACGCCACACATCAGATCTGTCCGATGAAAGTACATGAAATTTGTAGAAGCAATTGAAATTTTCTACTAGATTTGTAATGGTTACCAATTTATATGTATCTGGACTAGGGTAATCAACATCTAGGCCTGTATAAACATTCATATATGTTGACTCTAGGTATGGTGGGTAAGGTATTAACTGGTGTTCTCTGGTTGTTGGATTGAAAATACAATAAACCCTAATTTCCTCAAAGTCTACCAAAATTAGCCCATTACATGAGGCCAAAAGATTAAAATCACACGATAAATACGTTGAACATTGAATGATTGCATTAGGGTTTAAGGAAATTTTGTAGAAACTTGTGGATAAAAAAATTGATGAATAGATGAGTTCTGCAGAATAATTTTGTTGATTTTGGAACAAAAGTTTGGAAAAATTAGGATCGGAAATCCTACCTTCATATTTCTTGTTTAAAACTTTACACTGAATTGCAAACTTTAAGGGCATGTGCGAGATGATTTTTTCAACCATATCATCATTAAATTCCATGCGTTCCTCTGCTTTATTGTTGTTTGTCATGCCCTTAATTCGTTTCATTCTTTCTTTGGAGTGTATAAAGGAACACTTCAAATGTTTTACTGAGAAAAAGTCATTGTTTTCATTGGTGTTAAATAGTATTCAACTTTATTTGGTAAATCTCCGAAGTGATTCGAAAGATACACATTAACAATCAATGAACCATATATATATTGGTTTTTAATAAATTTTATCCAATAAGATATCAAAATAATAAATAATATATATGATATTTAAATCTCGCATAAGAGTATAAGTACATTTAATGAATAAGTGAATTTACCTTAATTAGTTATCAATATAAAACACTTAGTTTGGTCCAAGAAAAAAATTAAAATATATCAAGATTATAATTAATTATATATTATGTCTCACGACTCAAAAACTATATATAGAACTAGGCATTAGGGTAGTTACATCGGGTCCCATTTTAGCCCTAGAGACTCCTATAATAGGTCTCAATAGCGCATTAAGCAGGCCAGTCCAGCTGGCCTGTTCAGGCCTCACTACAGGCTTCTGAGGGTGACTGGTATAGTCAAGTTGATGTTGGCTTGTGTCAGAGTTGAGATGGTTCCAGTAAGGTGTTGTATTCTGTGATAGACATTACTTTATGGGTCAATCGACA